TTGGTTTGGAGCAGTATCCAGTGGATTATTCTCATTTCAGCCTACAGGTTTGCTTCTTCCCCCCTGCTCCTCCCTTCCTTCCTTTGCCCCACCCTTTACTCTGTCTCTGGCATTGTTTTCCATCCTGAAGCAGCCACTATCCTCATGCCCCCTTTCTCCCCCCGCCTTTCCCCATGCTCCCCAGCCATGAGCTCCGTGCTTCCTCCCAGAGAAGGGACTGCTCCAGCACCAAAGGCTGACAGAGGTAAGTGCCCAGCCCCGCTCTCTCTGCTGTCCCCTGCAGCTCCTGTCTGGGAGAGGAGCAGCCAGGCTGTCCCATCTCCGTGCAGGAAGCCACCTCATGGCCACCAGCCTGTAACATCAGTGGGGAGCGAGTGACCACCAGGATGCCATGGGCTGTTTGGCAAGCAGAAGCCTCTGGGCTCTGTTTTGGTAACACACAAGCATGGCTATTGGACAGAAGGAGAAAAGGAGGACTCTGGTCTCCTTTCCTTCCTTTGGTTGGCAAGAGAAGAAATCCAAAAACACCGACTCCAGATCCAAGAGCTACCAGGTGTCGGCAGTTCTTTCCCTGTCAACCTTGCCACCCTGCTGCCATTGCATACAGATTTCCCAGGGGATGACAACTGTAACCTCCCCTCTCCACCACATTCCTCTTTTCACTTAGCTTCAACCTGCAGCAGGCAGGCCAGGGTTTATGATGGAGCTGCTCAGCACGGGTGCAGGCACCTCCATCAGCCCTTTCCGATCATACCTCGAGCTTGAAAAAACCCTGCTTCAGCTAGAAGCCAGGAGCTTGCTGCTTTGGACAGGACTCTGCAACCTGGCACCAATCCGCAGACTGGCAAGCTGAGAAACATTGCACTAAAACACGCAGTACCACCGCAAACTACTGCAGTCTCCTTGCAGGAGCCTGTAACTATTCTGCCTGTTGAACTGGAGACACTCGTTTGTTGACTGTTAGCAGGAGGAGGAAGCTGTCTGTCCGTGTCGGAGGCAGGAGGGCAACCTGATCGCTCAGCTTAGAAGGAAGAGCTGGGTGGGGAGCTGGGACTCTGCATGGAGCAGATCGGTTTCTGCGGAGGTGCAGCCTGCAATGGGGTAAGGGAATGAAAACAATTTGGCAGACATCAAAATCTACAGAGCAGCCGGAAAAAGGAGGAGGAATTGGTATTCACAGCAATCAGGCAAGGAGGAAATGAATATTCAGCCATCCACGGATGAGCAAAAATGCCAGAGGTTGGGATGGGTGAGAAAGCAGGAATTAGGAGCTGCAGCTTTGGCAGGGGGACTAGAAGACAAGCGCAGCAGGAAGACCCCTTGGCGCTCCCAAGGTGCCAGAGGCAGGAGTGAAATGGGAACCACGTGTGCAAGGCAGCCAGCTGCTCTGAGGCTGGAGGAAAACAGGAGAGAGTGCGTCGGGGTAAACAGCAAAGGGTGGAGAGTGGAGGGGGGACAGGTCAGGTCCCAGCTAGGCCACAGACTCCCAGATTAGGGACAAAGCTACATGGAGCACTGTGGCTAGCACTGACCTGGGGTGCAACCCCCCGAGATGGCTGAGCCCATCTGCAGCTCACTGCCCCCTCTCAGTGAATTTTCTTAATCCAGCTGAAAAAAACTCCAAATTCCTCAGATTTAGTGAGCCAAACTGGCTCCCTCAAGGGTCTGACAAGCAGAGTGGCACAGGAGTCCACAGCTCAGCTGTCTTGTGGACTGTGTTTGTGGGATCAAAGCAATGGCAGCCTGCTCTATGCAGTGCACTGAGAAAAGATCGCAGCGCCGTTGTGCAATCCCTGCATAGACAGTTAACTTTGGCGGAGGGCAGGCATCACAGGCTGCAATGACAAACTGCTGCAGTGACATTCACAGTGTGTCACTCAGGGCCCGTCCTTAACAGCCCGACTCAGAAAAAAACCCACCCCAAACCCTACTACCCTGTGCTGCTGGGAGATCTGCTCTCCTTCCTGGAGAAGAAGGGAGTCTCTGAAGCGCAGGTGTAACCAAACGGACAAGCAGCCATGTCCCTCGGGACAGGAAACCGGCACTCTTGAGCTCTCCTGAAGATGCAGGGGGAAGGCATACGTCCACAGCACAACAGCTGCTGGAGAGGGCTTTGAAGCAAGACGTATTGTCATCCTGGATTCGCATCTAGACAAGATTTCTCCTCTTAGAAGTAGCCCAATCAAAACGGCCCAAGAGCATTAAGACCTGTGCTCATAGATCAGGCTGCCATCCCCACCTGCCATCGGCAAAACCACCTTCATGCTGGTGAGTCTTTGCTCCTGCGGAGAAGGATGAGAATAAATCCAATCCCATCTCAGCTTCCTTCACTCACAATATTTCAGGTTTCCAATTCTTGTAGCATGCCTGCTCCTGCACAGTATGATACCCCATTACATTAACACACACACACGTTATATGTGCATGATATTAAAGGTGACATTCCCAGCAAATAAACATGACAGACTGCCATTGCTTTAGGCACCTAATTTAATTTCCTCTGGGATTTAAACCTTAGAAGCTCAAATTAAACAAATAGGCCCCGTTCACTTTATATTTCAGACCAGAATCTAGAGTTTTCCTCCGATGCTGTTAACTGATCTTATCAACAGGACACCGCACAGAGATCACAATGATAAAGCAGCTTATTCCCTCCCCAAAGGAAAACGGAGCCCTGCTGTTGTGCTGCAGCCATGGGAAAAGCCGTTGCAATCCAGAGGGCAAATGAAGCCGTCCAATGCGTCCTGAGCACATCTTTTCTCCCATGAAATATCTTGGCCAGTGCTGAGGAAGGAGAGGAGCTCTCCCGAGTGGCGGCAGGCATCCCAGGTGTCACAGAAGCCGGGCGCTTGCAGCGCTGTGTTTTCACAGCTCTGTGCAAACACTCCTGCTGACCCAGCCTGCTGAAGCTGGTTACAGGGTGTAGCTCAGCCTTTGTAATGGCTGTTTGCAGTATGAACAGGGAACGGCCTCGCCAGCCAGCTGCGGGTATTTGAAACATCTCCTCCGGTGTTGCACGGTCCTGCTCGCACCAGGATCTCCCTGACCTGACCCAGAGAGGCCCGGACACGTGCTATCCCACTGCTAGCACATCTAGATTCCATTTTCTGTGTTCTCTGCGGCTGTTAGACATGCTGCAGATGCTTGGAAGACAATGACTAGCCAAAAGATAAGTCCGTGTTTTCTATCACAGGTACCTACTGCACAACTGAAGTCTGAAGTTTGGGTTCTCACCGCTTTACTAACAGCTGTATGTGTCCAGACACGTTACAAAATACCAGGCTAGGGTGTCTTATTCAGGTGGATGTGTTCAGGGAACACACGGGCTGCGTGCATGATGTCTCCCTCTCGTGGCAAGCCCCACCTGAGCTGGATGAAACCTACTTCTTACCTACAGGGCTTACCTACGGGTCAACTGAAGGACCTTGTGTGGAAGCTTTCAGTGTTGAAGCTTTCATACCTGCAGATAGTTGAGAAACCTGTATCGTGACTCGTTGTGACAGGCTGCGAGTGCATGAAAACAGGCGAGATCTAAAAATGTACACAAGGTCATGGGGCTCTAGACCAGGATAGCTGACTTTGAAAGCAACTGGTGCTTAGTAAAACATTAAAGACTTTACAGTCAGGTTATATGTACCACCCCAGAGTTAATACCCCATCTCTCACTATGGGGTTCAACCCTACCATGAGGGCTTGAAATTCTCAGCTAAGGAAAGGCTGGCTGGGGCCAGAGGTCACATCATATTGAAAGCCTGGCACAGCTGGCAAGTCTTTAATCAAGGAAGACCGTCAGAAGCTAAGCTAGGAATCGAGCTGCAGCTCCAACTTCAGGAAACATGCTTTGTCCAGGGCAAGACAGAAGTGATTGGCTCAGGGACAATTAAGCAGAGGTGCTTTTACTGATAATACCCAATTTTCTTGCCTACCTAGAAACAAACCAAACAATCCCACACTTTGCCCTAGTGCTTTGTTTGCATTAAACACTGCCACTTGCGTTTCTAGCAGGTTTGTCAAAGAAAGGAAAC